GAAATTAATTCGAACATTCAATAAAAGGTTGGTTTGATTAAAACAAAGTATGTGTTCCTAACGAAATTCAGACGTAAACATATAGCAGATAAATAAGGGCCAGGGAATCATGCATCTATGTCGGCATAAATGGCGATTTACCCAGATTCTTCCTGCGCTCTAGCAAGTTTCTCAATATTTTCCAAATCCATTTTTAAGGAAAGGACTTCAGTTTCCTTTTCTTTTAGTTGAGCTAAAGCAATGCCGATATGAGACTGAAAAAGAATATTTATAGATTAGATCAGACTAGATAAGATATTAAATATAAGAGCAGACTAAATAAAATTCGATGTTTGGCAACACAAATAGGGTACCGTCAAGGCCAGCTTACTTCAAATGAAGAATGTTTGGATCTAGTCTCTTTCAATTTATCCTCATAACGACCAATCGCATTTATATCGGATGAAATTGAGCCACGTAACTTAGATATTTCGTCAGGGGTTGAATCGATTTTTTTAATCTCCTGTTCTAATGTAGTCAAATGATTCCTTTTCTTTTCAACTTCAGTAAGAGTAGGAGAGTTGTAAATTGCACCCAAACGACCCGAAAATTCCTGATAAATTAGAAAAAGTCAGTCAAGAAAATAATTTTACAAAGACCTGGCCAGATTAATAAAGTACGCACTCTCGCCTCCTCATCTGTTAAATCACCAGTTGGCATAAGGCAATTTTGCATGTCAAACAAAATCCTTCCCATTGGCTCCTCATTGATATTCTGCCCTGGATCATACAAGAACGGGCCACCTTTTGTCCAAATCTTAAGAATCAAAACAATAAGTATATGCCTGGTTAGCAGACACGATCTCCTCAACGATCCAATTTAAGCAAAATAATACGTAAGGCCATGCATGCATAGCTCCTGGAGTAGCAAGATACTGCTTGCTAATAAGGTGAGGATAACCTAAAAGTTTCGTGACTCTTTATAGAAGGTTCGTGATAGGTAAAAATACCTGGCAAATTCAACGTCAAACTTAACGTCGTTGTGCATCATCCGATAAGATTGATCCAGCTGACAAACAATATGTTCAAAAATATTAGAGATTTCACGAAGACTGGGAGATTGCAAATCTTTCAGGCTTAATTTATTAGAATAGCTAGTGTTCTCAAGAAACTAAAACCAAATCATGTTAAGGAATACATACAGAGATGAGACTTGCTGCAGATCGCGACATGACCTCTTTAGATTTATAATCCCCAACATCCCTACGTTCGTTTGATGAAGAAGGCCTAAAAAATAAATAATAACAAAGTCAGACCTTGGTATGGAAGTGCGAGAAGGAGGCAATCCTGCAGAGCTGCCTGTCTTTCGCATGTTAAAAAGGGAGCGGAAAAGCAACGGTACATATTTTTGCCTGAAATAATTTTTATAATAGTAAGGCTAAACAAATAAATTTTAATAAATAGAAGGTAAATAGAGCTTAGACATATATTTAAATTGAGATTTTTTTGTATAACTTGCTAATGCTAATTTTGCACAGCGTTGGGATTAAATAATTTCTTTAAATAAGCAATAATAAAAAAATAGAGGCTAAAGCAAATTAAATGATAACTTAATTCTTGTTGGCACCATTTTTAAATTTCACAAAAATTGGTGTTATATGTTTTCACTAATAATAGTACACAAACGAAATGATATTATTCCATGTAAGAAATATGAAAAGAATTATTTTAGTTTTAAGATTGGATCTAAATTATGGGGCAGATTGAGATGCGAGAGTGGAAAGTGTAACATCCGCCTAAGTGGCATGCTTTTGAAGTGGGGTGATGAAGGATGCAGGATAGATTTTCAGGGGAAATACTGACACAATTGACGATATGATATAATAAATGTTCGAGCGACACCAAATTCGGTTTTATTAAGAAACTATTCGATTAGGCAAGCGACCTATGTGAAAGCGAGCATTGCACACAAAAAAGTTGGTGCTCTTTTAGAGTACAATCAAGTTGATAATGTGAATTTTAGTCTATACTTATTGCCGAACGGTTGGCTGAGCCTGCTGAATGGGCTTACTGCCTAAAACGTCCAACAGTAGGCTCGTCTTGCAAGATTTTTTGGCGCTAAGAAGAATGGTTCAGTATAAAAGGTATTCACGAGTGCTAAAGTTCTTGGATTGCTGTGAAATAGTCGCGAGTATCATGTGGCGAAGTTATTATTTTGAGGGTGGTTTTTAAATATCTTATAAACTCCTAAATAAGTACTTAATCGACCTAGTTCCCTTTAGGAAATCTAAAGACTGATGAAGAATGCAAATACATGCTTGATTAAAAGGCAAATGCGAGTCAGTAGAGGTCTGGCTTCTCACTAATGTAGCGCTTGTTCCTTGACTCAATGACATCCGTAACTTCTTAGTAAATGATTAACCTCATTAATGGATTTAATGAAGCAGCTTCCTGGGTGTCATGATTGAAAGGATTATGATAACCACAGAGAGGGACTGAATAGATTAAGAAATGCACTTCTATATAGGGCATTTATTTATTTTTTATGCTGATTTCTCGAGGTGCAAATGGTCCGAAGTGTTATATTATGCTCTTTGCTACATAGAATACATGATTTAGCCAGCATGAATAGACAAGTGATACAAACAGTCTCCTTACTCTCACTTTTGTTGCTTCAAGATACCAAGAAAATTATTGCCATGAGCTAATTCTATATATGCATCCTTTACGTTAGTTTGAGTAAATATGCTTGTTCAGATGCCTGAATGTTCGGATATTTCTGTACTCTTATTCGAATTAAGTTAAACAAATGAATTAAATGAAATATGCATAATTTTATATTAATCGGCTTCCATATAAATTGAACATTAATCATTTGACTCTTAAAAAACTTACATTACTGCTTGACCAGTTTGATGATCATTCATTCTGTAGCTTTTCAAAGATTTGGAAATAGATGTTTGCCATCCAACATTTTAGCACACAAAATTTTTTGATTCTAGGACTAAATTGGAATACGCATAATAGATAAACAGCATGTGCCCTTTTCAAAACGGCTTTAGCCACTTTAGGGCTGCCTAAATTAATGGATTCTCCTTGTAAATAATAATTTGTAAAATCAAGTTCATCTCCTCTTTAAATAAAAAAGTGAAACTAAAAGATTTGTTGGTAATTAGTGAAGTTATCCAAACGGTACATTATACTGTAAGTAATTTGGTACCAGCGATAAAAGACAAGTTCACCATCCTACAACTATTTTTACCTTGCGTGACCAAAAGTTGAATAGGGACTTATCGAATAAGTTACCTTCTTGTATGTTTATTTTCATCCAGTGAGTATAATGGTTTCTTCTGCAGTATAGCGTTAATAGAAGTTAGCCACGTGCCTTACATAGCGCTTTCCCACAAATTTTTGCTATAGACCAAGTTTTTAAAACTGGAAGCTTAGGAAAGAATGTTCTTGTAACATCACTAATGCATTACAGTTTCAACCCCGTCCATGTTTTTATTAAGGGATTACTGATTGTCTCGAAATCTGCAGGCATTAAAAATGAATAACGAGATTGAGTGGGGTGGTAAATTGTTAGTGTCTCATTGACAGTTGCACTATGAAAATGTGATTCGGGTGGAGCATGGCTTGCATTAAATAAGACATCGGCCCTGGGAACAACTAGCCCCATGGCTATGTAGTTGATTAGTAACGTCGCAAAAATATTAATGACCTGGCTTCGGATACCCGTCAGGGTTCTGGTGAGACCAAAGAGAGGCCGAAACTAAATTCAAATTTTTGTCAGATTCAATGACATCATTAGGTCTAATCATATTGCATAAATTTTATACCCTCGATTGGGTTATATCTAATTTGAAAGCCTATGTTTGTGTTAATTTCCTCCTCCCATGTATCTACCCTCAATCTCTCCTCTAAAACAACTGATATTTCAAATTATTATTAACTATTCAGATGCCGCTTTTATTTTTTTCAATTCTAGACCGTATGGTCCGAAGG